ACTACACACTACTATTATTGTTCATAGACCAACAAGGGGGTTAGATCGAAAAAATTAAAAGAAAACTCGATTAATTAATGAAAATTTTAAGATTTTTTTTTATAAATATTACTGGTGAAATAAAAATTGATTTATAAACAAAAATTTTAAGCTACAGGTTATTCAATCCGAAAGATATTTTAATACATTTTTTAGTATTATTTCATAGTATTCAATTTTCGGGATAAAGTAACATAAAATTTTGAAAATCCTCTATATTATAACACCCATTTAAGGAAATAGATTAAAATCTATAATAATTAATATAGATAAATTTATTTTATTTTGAAATATAGATTAATGTTGTATCTTAATACGAAACAACCTTATTTGTTCTAACCTATAGTAATAAAAGTTCAATAATTAAAACATTAAAAAAATGTTTTACTTTCAGCTTTACAAAATAATGACCTATATTACTCTAAGTACTAGTTTATAATTTTATCGCGAAGAGAAATTAAAATAACACCATATGAAATGACATGTTATTTTCTGAAAAAAACATTTTTGGCGAAATTATGTGCATAAGGCGACTTAAAAGGCGGAGTTAATAAGATATCATTGTAAACGTGTAACGAATGTTTAATAACAATATTATTTTAAAAACAGTATCACAAGATATCATAGAATACAATGACTATTAAAATATAATTATTATAGATTACTTAAAATATAAAATTCTTTATTTATTAAAATATTAAATTATTCAAAACGCAACATATCTCCTTATTTATAAAATTATATTTTTACGCAAAAATTATAAATTGAGGTTCACAGAGTTATTCTTTTAATATAACCCATTCCATTTACCTTAAAATAATAATTGTATTAAGAAAATTCTTAACACAAATTTATAATAATATTGCGGAACTTTCACTAACATTGGCGACACGGTGTCCTGCATGATCCTCAGGCATCAGAAGATTGACAGTTGTCAATACGCGGTTGCGGATCGGTTCTTTGAGTCTGGTCGTGCGACATGTCCGGAGCAGGTGGCTTAATATCCTCGACGTTGTTAATTTGACAACGGTAAGAAGACTTAATGTATCATTTGATGTCGTCGACGGACTTTGCCTGTGATATATGGCATACAGTGTTGGTCAGTTAAACTACCAAATGCCCGTAGAAGAGTGACGGCTTAAAGGCAATTCACAATATACGAAACGTCAATGTCACATCAAAATATCTAATGTATTTATATCATATTGTTCACATCACCGGCCACGTTACATAACGTCAACATTACGGAACGGCAATGTTTATCGAAAATATATTTTGACGTGTCAATGTCTGTCCGGTCTTGTTTATTCAGATTGTATGATTGCGTAAACGGAACATCTCGGTCAAAAATATACATTGCATATATAAATTCTTTATTAATCATTATTACATTTTTATTTTTATTACTATTATATTTTTCGTTATTTTGATTTTTTATGAAATACTAAAGTATTTGTAAAATGATGTTTCTTCATCTTCTAAATCATTAAAGAAAGAATGATATTCTCCAAATTGTTTTCTTTTAACTAACATTTCTCTTACGCATGTTCTTCTACGTCGTTGGTTGCTGTTATTTTTTTCCTCGTCCAAAATTATTGCTAATGTTTTCTTATTAAATATTAATATTATAAAAGGTCTACCTAACTATTATATTAAAACTAATTAATTTTATAATTTTGAATTTAAAATTACTGGACAACTGCTATAGTATAGATCAAAATTGGTATTTTTTTGTTGGCGTTAAGTGAATAAACAACAAATTTGACATGATGTTACCAGTTTGTGACATGACGTTGACATTTCGTAGTGTGAATTGACATTAATAAAGGTGGCGCGGATCGTAGGGCATCGTGTATCATGAAGCGTTTCAAATACTATTATTATTATTAAAATTACATTATATATATACATATATTAATACAAAGTGTGCTTTTGTAATGCGGATACAGAGTGATAGCCCTATTATATATGTATATTTATAATGTATTCTTCATTCCACCCATTATTTTTTTAGAATAAGATGTATAAAATTAATTCAATAATTAATATTTTTAGTGTAATATTCTGTATTTATTCTCTTTAATATAATCTCAAAATATACATAAACAAATATTTGAAAGAATATTTTGTGAGCATATTATGGAAAAATTTCAAATACTACATATATTTTATAATATTTAAGAGATTTTGTCACAATATTTACATCATAATATTTTAAAAAGAATTTGATAAGAAATTTTGACAATATTAATAGTAATTATTTTATTGGTGTCTTTTTTTGGAATTCTTCGTCGTTTATGATGTATTTAATTTTTTATTTATTAATACTATATTGAATTCTTATATTTCTAAACAATTTTTTTGATCATACTTTCATTTTCTTATATATGATTTAAAATTTATAAATAGGCTACAAGAAGATGAAATATTTCACAAGCTAAATGAAAAAGAAATATATGACGATGAAGACGAAAACGAAGGCACAGCAATAACAACAGAAGAGAACGCATTATACGAAATAAATTATTATGATAAAACAACATTTATCATTACCGAAAATGATATTAAAACTTTCAAAATTTCTATCAATACTTCTATTTGGGCTCTATTTTTTCCAATTGCATTATTAGGTAATTATTTTTTTTTTCACTAAAGAAATAATAGATTTTTAAGTGTAAAAGCACCAGTAAAAGACAATTATTAAAATATGATATATTTAAATTTTCATTAAGATTTGGATTATAATATTACATTTTAAGCTTTAATGAAAGGTTTTTTTTCTTATTTATTTATTATTTATTCAACAAGATTGACCATTATTACACAAAATTATAATTACAAAAAATTAAAAAAAAAAAAAAAAAGAAATATAAAAATAATAAACGTGTAACGTGACAAAAAGTATCTGTTTATTTTTTTTATCTATTTGTATATATATATTTGTGTTCTGAATTATCTTGGTTTGGCCGAATGCATACTGCGGCGGCGTTTATCAGTTAAGTGCTCATGATAAGATGTTGTGATTTGTTTGTGCGCGTGCAAGATAGTCAACTGTATACTACTTCGGACCGGTTCATGGACGGCATTAGTGTGTACATTCACTCCGCTCCTTTCCTATCTTGAACGTCATTTGCACTGCTAACCATCTACATTGTCGCCTTATGATATGTGATGATTCAAACTTTTCTTAATAATTTCCGGCACTAAGTATTAAAATTTGTTGACCCTACTCTAAAGGCTAACCGTGTTGTCACCAACGGACCGCCGGATCAAACGACGGAAGTTTTGTCAGAACTGGTACGCTAATTTTCGTCCGTAGCGGTTTTTTTTTTCTTAGTTGTGTGCGTTACAACAAATAGTTTTTTTTATATTAATATTTTTTTACATGAGTGTCCGCAATTTTTTTTTGAATGTGTAATTTTTGTTTACTAGCGTCGGCTAATCCTGCCTCCATTTTCTGTAGCCTTTCAGGGCTGGTAATGTATCTATTTTATTTTATGTTTTGAGCCATACATATTTTTTTTAGTGCGCCGTGCCTTAGCACGTGTGGTAAATTCATTTTTATTTTTTTTTTTATTAAATTTTTTTAGGTGCCCCTAATTTTTTTATTTAGGCCCCTCAACATGACAGACGTGTTACAATACCACCTGTCAAGTTATATTTATATTTTTTTGTGATTTTTTTTTTAGGTTATATATTATATTTTATGAGGTGATGCGTATATATCATTAGTATAATGTGGTGAAGTAGTGCATTTTATTCTGGGGGTCCCAATGTCTTGCAAGCTAAGTCAGCTGTTTAAAACTAGTCGCTTACTTGGGACGTATACCCGTCATGCTTAGCGGTAATGCCGTGATTAATAGCCGATGGGTACCCAAAGACGTTCATCGTATTCTCTAATTGTAAAAGTGTAGGTGTAATTATTTTTTGTTACTAATATATATATTTTTCTCTCTGTTCCCCTTTAATTTGTAGACGAGGTTTTTTGACCGTTCAGTTTTTTGCCTCGTAGTAACCTAATTTTTTTTTTTAATAAAGTCCCCTTATTTTAACTCAACTATCAGCTTATTTTTTTTTTTTTTTGCGAGTTCCCTCTTCAATGGACTTGTGTATTTTTTTATCTTTCTTCCTTTCTTAAATCAAGTCCCCTTAGTTTATAAGGAACGGGCAACGGCTATAAGGTCATCCCTCATTATTATGGTTATGTGACAACTATCACGAGGTTTTGGTGTACATCTACTATCAACGACTCAACGGACATCGACTTCAACCTTTAATACTTTTCTATTTATTTTAAAATGGTTTTTTAATGTACAAAATTTAATTATTTTTTAAAATCCTACTGTGGTCCGACAATACATTGTCTCACCCAGTAGGTTTTCTTTTTTCTTTTCGACCCTTTTCTTTTTAATTTTTCAATGTGCCATGAAAGTTATAAATTTTTCGTTGCAGCCAATTAATTCAGTTATTTTTATAATATTTGTAACCTTTCAAACATTGAGAAAAAGACAAACATTTAAACAAGAGTACAGGGTTTGTATAATAAGTAACCGGAGTGACCTCATAAAATTTTTTATTGCTGCAATATTTACAATTTTCTTTCAGAAACTTTCAAAGTAGTCCCCATTGGAGTCCATGACGCGTTGATAGCGGTTTTTCCAGTCCTGGAACGCCCGCTGGAAGTCGGCAACCGGAATGCTGTCTAGAGCCCTCGTCGTAGCGATTTGAACGTTCTCCAGAGTCCCGAAACGCGTTCCCTTCATGTCTCTCTTTATCTTGGGGAACAAAAAAAAGTCGGGTGGTGCCAGATCTGGGCTGTAGGGAGGCTGTGGCCACGTCGTTCTCGATTTTTTGGCCAATTCCTCGGTAACAAGCAGGCAGGTGTGCGACGGCGCGTTGTCGTGATGCAGGATCCATGAATCGGCAATCTCCGGACGGACTCGGCGAACCCGGGCAGTCAGTCATCGGATCACCCCTTTGTAGAACTCGCCGTTTACTGTTTGTCCTGGCGGTACAAATTCTTTGTGAACAATACCTTTGACGTCAAAAAATGCGATGAGCATCGACTTCACCCTCGATTTGCTCATCCGCGCTTTTTTGGGTCGCGGCGACGCCGACGTGTGCCATTCTGTACTTTGCCTTTTTGTTTCAGGGTCGTATTCAAAAACCCATGACTCGTCTCCTGAAATAACACGGTCCAAAATTTCTGGTTCAGTTTGCAGTCGATCAATCATTTCCGAAGCGACAGCGACGCGACGTTCCTTTTGCTCGTCCGTGAGAACTTTGGGCACGAGCTTCGCGCAAATTTTTCTCATGCCCAAATCGTTTGTAATAATGTTGTGCACGGTCATTTTGTCAATGCCCACCTCATCGGCGATCATCCGGATGCTCAAACGACGGTCATTGTTCAAAACATCACGCACTTTCTTCACATTTGCGTCCGTGTGAGTGGATACTGGACGGCCGATGCGTTGCTCGTCATGGACGTCTTCGCGGCCGTCCCGGAAATTTTTGTGCCACTCAAACACTTGAGTTCTGGATAGGGCATCCTCACCGAAAGCCTCTTGAATCATTTTAAGAGTTTCCGTGGCGGTTTTTTTTAATTTCACACAAAATTTGATGCTAACACGTTGCTCGATCGTTCGCTCCATTTTCACTCCGACGAGGTTTTTCAACATGCACTGCGCTCTCGGGCTATCCTGTCTCTCCAAGTGCTTGGAGGCAACTGACTACTGGTCGGCTGGCTCCCTAGATCCCCCACCACCACCCAAGCACCACAGACCGGCTAGCAGACGCTTTGTTGGCGCGGCGTAGGTACAGTCCGGTTACTTATTATACAAACCCTGTATGTCGNGGTACAGTCCGGTTACTTATTATACAAACCCTGTATATAAAATAAATGTTTAATTAAAATTGAAAGAGGGGTCTTCATTGGCATTTTTCATTAAACGTTATAATTGGCTCATTACAAATATAATTAGAAGAACAGATAGGTATGAAGAACGGAGCGTGATTTCTAAATTTTCTCTGGGGAACTTTAAAATTAATTATCGCTAAAAGAGATGGAGATTCAATTTTACCATCAAGTAAATTTATTAAGAATTTAGTACCTAGGGCCTTTCGGCGATCAGCAAGTGTGGGGAGATATCTTATACAAAATCAGCAAACCGCAAAAATCTACGTTGTACTCTTTCAACCAAACAAGCGTCGTTGGTTGTATGTGAATTCCAAATGAAAGCGCCATACTCTAAAATAGGATGAACTAATGCGCAAAATAGTGTTTTTATTACTAATTTATGTTTTAAGTCAGAAGCTATCCTCATTATAAAATCGAGAACCTTAAGCGCCTTACAACAAATCATATCAATATAGAGTCGAAGATCTAAAAAAGCATTAAATTTAATCCCAAGATCTATGACAGTGTCATAAACACGAGTAAGGTTAGATTCGCCTATAAAATAATAATGAATTATGGGAGATTTAGAGCGAGTGAAAGAATTGACATTTAGAAATATTTAGCGCCAAGCCCAGCACCTTAAATCAAGTTGTAAACCGGTTTAAGACATGCTGAAGCTTAATACAATCTTCCTGCGTATTAATTTGCAAAAAAAGCTTGATGTCATCCGCAAAACAAACCAACTTGTAGTTGTGAAGAGTACGACTAACTCCATTTATAAAAAGAGAGAATAAAAGGGGAGAAAGATACCCCCCTTGAGGAACTCCCGATGAGGCCAAAAATAAGTCAGACTTAATACTACGTACTTTAACTCATTGGTATCTATTAAGAAGATAGGAGCGAAACCAACCTAAAAACGGTTCACTAAAACCTGTTTTTTTAAGGACTACAAGTAATACTTCATAGTTTATTGAATCGAACGCCTTTTTAAAGTTTGTATATAAGACATCAACCTGTGATCGTTGCTGGAATGCATTAAAAACATAATTTGTAAATAAAAAATTACAAGTTGTTGAACGGCCCGGGAAAAAACCACGTTGTTCTTCAATAATTACTTTGCTGACAGAAGCTTGCAGTTTACTGAATAGAATTTTTTCAAAAATCTTGGAGACATGCGACTGAATGGAAATTGTTCTGTAACTTGATATAACTGAGGTACAGCCAGTTCTAGAGATAGGGTAGATAGAAGTGAATTTTAAGATTGATGGAAAAACTCCATCGTCCAAAGATCTTCTAAAAGTGGGTAAGAAGTATAGTGTCTCAACTGGTAAATGAAAAGCTGTAAGACTGTCACAAATGTTCTCAACACTGAAGTTAATGTTATTTGGAAAAATCAAAAGCCTCTAAACCCAATTGATCAGTATCAATGTCAAAATTAGTGTAGGAGTATACTGAAGAATTATAAAATATTTTTTACTTTATCTAATGCATACCACAAAATTATAAATAAATAACAATCAAAGCACTAATGAATGCCACTTTAGTAAAATGTAGTTTTAACTTGATATAATTGGATTAATATAACAATACATTTTTACTTTAATTAAAACGAATTAAATGTAATAAATCAAATTCTTTTTTTGATAAATAAATCTTTTTAGCTTTAAAAAGATAAAAAAATATAATTTGATTCAATAAGAACATAAATATTTAAAAATATAACAGATTAAATAAATTTAGCAATTTAAATCAAGCAAATTGTTTTATTACATAATATCAAACATTATTTTCAATATCTCTATCACTGTATTGTTCTTCGTGATCTAGATTATCATTTGATGTTAAACCAAAGTAGCAAAGACATTCTTCTTTTTAATGTTAATTCAAATAAATGTTTTACAGCACACAATCAGTATAAAATTGCAATTTACAAATTCACAAATAATTTACTTTCTGTTTATTCACCATAGAAAAATTCTGCATACACTAAAACTATTATAATAGTTGTCTCATTTAGCTTCGATGCGAAGCGGAGAAAGTATTAATTTTACTATGATGTGTGTTTTTTTTTTTTTTTTTATATATGTCTGTTGCCACTTTTTCTGAGCTCTCACTGGACCGATTTCTTTCAAAAATACGTCAAAAGATCACAAATCGTATCTAGTTGGAGACATTACCCTTAAAAATTGAAAAAAATTCCCTCGTTCCCCCCAAATGGGGGAAATATCCAAATATGCAAAAAAATTACAAATTTAAAAATCGCTAATTTTCGAAATTTTTTTACTTTTTTTCTTAAAACTTCCATAACTTTTTGAAAAATCAACAAATCAACATAATTTTTTTTTATACTAAAACTTAAGATATTTCCCTTTCGTTTGATATAATTTTTTTGAAAATCTAACACTTAACCTGCTCATTGGGGGAGATTTAAAATAGCAACTTTTTTACAAAAACTAACTTTTTCAATATAATTTTTGAAAATGTTCCGGAAATACTGCGTCCTTTAAACATATATCAAATTAAAGCTTATTTTATGTACTATAAAATGAAAAAAAAAAATTTGTCCCGACACTTTATCTTCTGCATGTAAACAGTTGCCGTAGTTAAAAAAACACTATTTTTGTGTTAAAATTTTCGATTTTCGATTTTAAATTTTCAACTTAAAAATGCTATAACTTTTTGAAAAATGTATATATCAGCACAAATTTTTTTTTTCTAAATACATTATAAGTACATCTTTCATTTGACATACTTTTTATTAAAATTGGACAATTTCCCCTTATATAGGGGGCGTTCAAAACTTAAAATATTGTAAAAAACATAGATCTTTTTCAACTGAACTTTTGAAAATGTTCCGGAAATACTGCGTCCTTTAAACATATATCAAATTAAAGCTTATTTTATGTACTATAAAATGGAAAAAAAAAATTTGTCCCGACACTTTATCTTCAACATTTAAACTGCTGCCGTAGTTAAAAAAACACAATTTTTTGTTAAAATTTTCGATTTTAAATTTTCAACTTAAAAATGCTATAACATTTTGAAAAATGTATATATCAGCACAATTTTTTTTTTTTGAATACATTATAAGTACATCTTTCATTTGACATACTTTTTATTAAAATTAGACAATTTCCCCTTATATAGGGGTCGTTCAAAACTTGAAACATTGTATAAAAAATAGAACTTTAGCAACTGAACTTTTGAAAATGTTTCGGAAATACTGCGTCCTTTAAACATATATCAAATCAAAGGTTATGTTATATACCAGCGGTTCCCAACCTTTTTAGTCGGCGGTGCCCTTTTGTTGTTCCAAATTTAGTTAGGTGCCCCTCTGTGAATATTATGAAAAACATGATAAAAATGAACACTTGTTTTCATTGTTGACCGATTTAAATAATTTTATTTATTATGGTTGAAAATAAAGAAAAAAAATACTGCTTTAAAAGTTAAAAATTAATGAGAGTTTTGTGGCTGCTTATTTTTTGAAAGTTTGGCAATATCTGGTTCAATTTTTGACAGTTGGATACGAAGGTCAGGTTCTACATTAAGACGGTTCCGGTATTTGGTTTTAGTAGCCGCATAGGCTGAAAATCCTGTCTCACATAAATATGTGGTAGCAAAAGGTAGGAGTATTGTCATTGCTTTTTGACTCAAATTATCAAAACTTGTATTTTTCAAATTTAGCCAAAATTCAACATAAGAATTGCTACTGAAGGTGGATTGAAATGTTGAATCTGAAGTAATATCGATCAAACTCTCATATTCGATTGAAGACAAGCTTGAGGGTTTTCCACAGACTGAAAATGGATTAACTACCCATTCACGGTCTTTTAAAAACACCTTTCGATCTGTAGGAAAATATTTATTAAATGAATTTTTCAGTTGTTTGAGATGTTCAGAAATCTCGTTAATAATGCTAATGGGAGTTTGCAATTCGTTTTCTTCCAAAAAGGCCTGCATTATTGGAAAACACTCCAGCTCTCTTTTAAATATGCACTCTGACCAATAATCAATTTTTCTTTTCAATGCACATACTCTGGAGCTCGCATCAAAAATTGTCAAAGTTCTTCCTTGTAAAGAAAGACTTAATTCGTTCATTTTGTTAAAAATGTCTGCCAAGTACGATAGCTGACAAAGCCAAGTCACGTCATTCATAGTTTCAGTTAATGTAACGTTGTGGTCCATTAGAAATGAAGAAACTTCAGCCCTTAATTCCATTAACCGTGTTAATACTTTACCGCGAGATAACCACCGGATTTCTGTATGGAAAAGTAACGTATTATGAATACTTCCCAAGTCGTCACACAAGATTTTAAAAAGTCTAGATTTCAGAGGACGTGACTTGATGAAGTTGACTATTTTTATGGCTTCATCCAATATGTTTTTTAGACAGAGAGGAATATTTTTCATTGCTAGAGCATGTCTATGAAGTATGCAATGACTACTAGTAGTTTCATTCGATTTCTCCTTTATTTTAGCTATTGCTCCAGCTGTTGCACCTGTCATGGCCCTAGCACCATCTGTACATACATCGATACAGTTTGTCCATGGAATCTGATTTTCTGTTAAAAAATCATCCAATAAACCGAAAATTTGAACCCCTGTCGTATTAGGTAAAAGTGGTTTACAAAATAAAAGTTCTTCCTCAAAAGATTTCATGTTTACGTAACGAACGAACACCAATAGCACAGCAAGACCAGCAATATCGGTTGATTCGTCCATTTGTAGTGCGAATTATGTGTATTTAATACGAGAGACAAGTGTTTCTGTTACGTTGCTAGCCAAATCTTCAATTCGCCGTGCAACAGTATTATTTGACAAAGGAATTATGGATAAATGTTTGGCAGATTTGTCATCAAGCATACAAGTTACTATATCAATAACACATGGTTTTATGAGGGTCTCAGCAATGGTATGAGCTTCGCCTTTTTGAGCTATAGGGTAACTCACCATGTAGGAAGCTTTCAATGCATTTTCATTATCGGTTAGAACTTGCTTTTTTATTTTTTTTTTAACAGCCAATAGTTCAGAGCGCTTTCGTTTGAAAAAATCGAGTGGTTTCCCATTATGATCTGTGTGGACCTTTTCATAATGACGACGTAATTTTCCGGGATACATAGAACTGTTAGGAAAAACTTTTGAACAAATTACGCACTGTGGCTGGCCATCGTTTATTTCTATGAACCCCATCTCCAAATAACTTTCATCGTATTTACGTTTTTTGGACGTTCTTGGGACAGAGTCACCAGTATTTGGCGGTAGTGTACTACTCATACCTTGAGAAGTAGGACTATTATCATTAACTCCGTCTTCGTTGGTTATGCTTTCTTCTATATTAGAACAAGATGACTCCGTAGCAGGCGTCTTATTAATAGACCCACTTTTCAACCAACGTTCCATGTTTAAAACAAAAACAAACGTATGTACAGAAAAAAATAGTTTACGACAATACGTGTTAACGCGTAAAATGTCGATCACAAACTGAAAGTAAATGCTCAACTGGTTTGGTATAATAATAATTCCGAAAATATACGAGTGATACAATTAAATTTAATGATAGGAAATTCGAAGAAGTCGCGTGCGTGTATATTATACACGCGAATTCAGATAACATTATACACTGTATAATGTTATCTGAATTTATTTGATTGATTTATGACATAAATCACATAAATTTTATGTGATTTATCTGATATTTATTTTAATCGATACCAATTAGAAACACTGTATTAAATATATCGAGTGTACTAAGTAATTGCATACGTAAAACAATTTTTTTTAACTACAATAAATTGTAAATATTTTATTTCACTCTCGAGCCGCGGTGTCCTTTATATAATATATACTATCAAATAAAAAAAAAAAATTTGTCCCGACATCTTATCTTCTATGTGCAAATGGCTGTCGAAAATTAAAAAAAAATGTAATGTTTGCGATAAAAATTACCTTTTATCGGGATGTTTTTTGTACTTAAAACTGCCATAACTTTTTCAAAAATGAACAAATAAAAATAATATTTTTTTGTATTGAAACCTTAGATATTTCCCTTTCATTTGATATAATTTTTTTTGAAAATCTAACACTTATTCTGCTCACTGGGGGGATTTAAAATAGTAACTTTTTTACAAAAAATAACTTTTTCAACTTAATTTTTGAAAATGTTCCGGAAATACTGCGTCCTTTAAACATATATCAAATTAAAGCTTATTTTATGTACTATAAAATGAAAAAAAAAAATTTGTCCCGACACTTTTTTTTCTACATTTAAACGGCTGCCGTAGTTAAAAAAACACTATTTTTGTGTTAAAATTTTCGATTTTCGATTTTAAATTTTCAACTTAAAAATGCTATAACTTTTTGAAAAATGTATATATCAGCACAAATTTTTTTTTTCTAAATACATTATAAGTACATCTTTCATTTGACATACTTTTTATTAAAATTGGACAATTTCCCCTTATATAGGGGGCGTTCAAAACTTAAAATATTGTAAAAAACATAGATCTTTTTCAACTGAACTTTTGAAAATGTTCCGGAAATACTGCGTCCTTTAAACATATATCAAATCAAAGGTTATGTTATATACTATCAAATGAAAAAAAAAAATTTGTCCCGACATCTTATCTTCTATGTGCAAATGGCTGTCGAAAATTTAAAAAAAAATGTAATGTTTGCGATAAAAATTACATTTTATCGGGATGTTTTTTGTACTTAAAACTGCCATAACTTTTTCAAAAATGAACAAATAAAAATAATATTTTTTTGTATTAAAACCTTAGATATTTCCCTTTTATTTGATATAATTTTTTTTGAAAATCTATCAATTAACCTGCTCATTGGGGGGATTTAAAATAGTAACTTTTTTACAAAAAATAACTTTTTCAACTTAATTTTTGAAAATGTTCCGGAAATACTGCGTCCTTTAAACATATATCAAATTAAAGCTCTCTTATGTACTATAAAATAAAATAAAAAAATTTGTCCCGACGTCCTATCTTCTATGCGCAAATGGCTACCGTATTCAAAAATATGCTATTTTAAAAATTTTTTTTAAATTAAACACTATCTACAGATTTACATCGAAGCGTTTTTTATGATAGTGATTTTAATCACTGTCAGATATCATCTATACTGGACCCAACTATGCCACGACCCCAATGTGCCGCCACCCCACTGTGCTGTGTTAATTTATCACTGCTTCTAGCATAGGATCACAGTCTTATTTTCCAAAAGACGCACCAAAATTATTCATTCTCCACTGATTTATATCTTTGGCTAATTACTTTTTCAATAATTGAACAATAATGGTTGCATTTGTGTACAATACGAGAATAAAAATACGATGATCCAAAAAAAAATTACTTATATGATAATTAAAATAAAGAGACATCTAAAAATAATGCAACAAGAAGTGTATTTTATTTACAAGTAGCCGTGAATGGAAATCTATTGTTCGATTTGGCTATGGCCCAGTCCTTACTAACTGTCTAACACTACATGACAGTCGTTTATCAGAAAAAACAATGATGGGAGAACCCATTTTACTAGTATCTAATACTATAATGTATTATACTATACTATATGTTTTCACGTTATTGTTATATATTTCATATATATTTATTTCATCTCTTATAAATAAAACTTTGTTTATCAGGGCACAAGATAAATACACTTTCGTCACAATTAAACATCATCATCATCATCTATAAAAGGCATTATCTTGTTGTTGAAGCCACTCCTTTTTGTTTTACTCCAAATTCTTCAGTGAACAAAAAACACAGTTCATGAGTTCCAGGAATTGTTCAAAATATTGTTTTCTTCCGCGTCCCCTTGGTTTATTCACAGTTATTTTTCCTTTGAAGACGTTGATTACTTAGTAACAGCATATCTTGGTTAGGAATATCATAAAGATCTTTAATGCAGTGGTTTACCTGTTGCCTTCTGCATCATCGTAGCTGATGGTCGACCTTTGAAGATGATTTCTTACCTACAGGATAAGCGATTGCTGACCGGCTGGTCGGTTCTCCCGTACAGGGAAAACCTCAGCGACCACCGGTACATCGTGTACGAGTGCGGCAATGGCGGCCGTCCCCCTCGAGCCGTGCCCCGCGTGCCATCTCGCGGTGGGCGAGTGGGCTGGCCGAGGGCCAGTTCGGTTTCAGGAGGGGGAGGTCGACGGACGACGCGGCCTCCCTCTTTAGAGACCTGGCCCTCAGGGCCGAAAACGGACCGGGCTTCGGGGTGGCGGTGAGCCTGGACATCCGGAACGCGTTCAACTCCGTGCGATGGTCACACATCCTCGGAGCGCTGGACGCGTTTCGGGTGCCTCCGTACCTCGAGCGGATGATCTGGTCGTACTTCGGCGACCGGGTCATCACATACGAAAGCGCCGCGGGCCCGAGAACCAGACCTGTGATGGGAGGCGTCCCGCAAGGGTCGGTTCTCGGGCCTCTGCCGTGGAACATCGCGTAAGACGCGGTGTTCCGCGTTCCACTACCGCCGGGCGTGCGCGTCGTCTGCTACGCGGACGACACGCTGGTGGTGGCGGAAGGCGCCTCGTCCGAGGAGGCTGGATCCCGGGCGAACTGCGCTCTCAGCGCAGTC